CAAAGAGTCTCCTGTATCCATTAACCGATATTATTGACAATTTTGGGGATTTTATGATTTATTGGTATGTTAGGTCTCTTCAATAATGTTACTCCAAATCCGATTTTTTCTTCGATGAACTCGTTTGTGCACCCTATCGACAGTTTTTTTGGTTACAACTTTTGCACGTTGGTTTGTAAGTATCAGGGGCAAGTAGCAGGGACAAAAAATTGTCCTTTCAGACAGACAATCCTGGTATCGATGTCCTTCTTGGCGATAATTCCAACAAATTAACTTTAGTGCTGACATTTGTTCATTTTCAGCAGATGACAACTCCACGTCATCAATTACTAGCGCCTCATCTATACCATAGACCTTTTTCCCAACGACGCCTGACTTGGACAGTACACTGCCATGCTTTCGTCGAATGTCCTGAAGGAAAAATTCCCTCCTCCTACATATATGTCTGAGTTCTTGGATTGATGAATCTTTAAAATTCAAAATCTCATGTTGGATTTCGGGTAATAAATTTCTTCTCAAAACCTCCACTAACATTCCATTCGACAAGGGCTCCTTCAATCTGTCTGTCAATTGGACTACAGAGTCATAAAAGTCATCAAAGCTCTCACCTGGTTTCTGTTTGCGGTCCCTAATTAATTCTCGAATATCAACATCCGAACGTGAATCACCATATTGCTGACGCAAGGCTTTGCACAAGTCAACCCAGGACACATGTGAGACCGACCGATGGTACCGCCAAAATCAATCGGCTGCTTTCTCTTCGAAAAGTAAACTCGCGTTTCAGCAAAATAAATCGAAATCACCGTGAGGGATTCGATTCTATAAAAAAATTTTTAACGCTAAGACCACACGAATTACCAGTGAATTTTATCCTCCAATTAGATATAATGTGTAGGACTTTACCGGGTCTCGATGCCAAATCTGAAGAAGATGACTGCTGGGAAACAGTAGGTCCAAACCGACTACTATTTACGTGACCGTGGTTCTGTAAATTATTGGGAGAAATTCCGAACATTTCACGGAAGGTGCGTTCTTTTACTGCTGCCGCTGTCTGTATTTGTCTTGGAGACGGATGATGGTTAACTGTTGGCATAGCAGGAGCTGGGGCACTCTGTCCATTCAAGTTTAATCTCGATAAATGCGACTCAATATTGCTTTGAACTAAACGGGAAATCTGGTTGGTTTTGCTAGAAAGAAGTTGGGCTTGCTGAGCGAAAACAATTGAGCTGATCATATGCTGAAGATCACCAGGTTGAATGCTTGAATGTATACTCTATAAGGCAAGAACAACCAACCAGACTATGCAAAATGATAACAAAATCAAATGCAAAAGCTCTCAGATACTTTCAATAACAAACCGTATCAATACTGAATAATACTGTTATATTCCTTATCTAAAAAAAGTTCGAATGCCAACTGAATGAATTGAATGCAATAATTAGGGAGTAAAAATAATAATTGCCTCGAGCAATTTAGAAAATATAGGAAATACCTCTGAGAAAAAAAATCCCAGAAGAGAATCAATAAATTTTACCAATGAATTTCCAACAATGGTCAATGGCAATAACGGAAAGCAGGAAAGCAGTTAGTTCCATTCCATAGCCATTTAAGGATAAACATATGACCTAATATGTATTCCAATTAACTAGCCAGTACCTTATAAGAAGAAAAAACATAAAGTAAGATCGAAAATAACATGTAGAAAAGCAATCTTGAAAAGAGAAGTAATTTGGAAAAGTATTTTCGTAAACCCGAATAATTGTGGATTTCAGACAGATGGTGGTTTTGTTAAAGATACTATTCATATTCGGGTCCCACGTTGGGCGCCATTTATATTCTGTAACGTGTAACATAAAACAAATGTGACAGGTAGTACCCAGGATTTTCATTTTTTTAGGAGTGCACGCTTGGAACCAGTCTTATAGCTCGTCGGAGGGGGGTTCACTAACCTTGGACAATCCTATTGTCACTGAACTACTATTAAAATATAAAAAATGCGTGCATTTTTCTTTGGGTGTACAAAAAGGGTCTAGCACAATATGAGGAAACGGAAACAGTTTAGTAGAGCATGAGCTCTGTAAGAAAAAAAAGTTAACAGACTAATAACAGAAAGGTATTTTAAATTTGGAGAAAATCGAAGCTGTTAGAGGAAAATTGAAGAGACCAAATGACGTAAGCAACACGATGTTTATGATGCTCAAAAGAGCCCACCCAACCATGACTGCAACATGATGTATCCAAGGCAAGAGTAAGGTATTGTTGCAGCCCCTGAAATGTGCAAACAAACCTTTTCCTACTTTAAAGAGAACTCATTTTTTTATTTCATTAAATAGTATTATTTTATAATATTTCAAAGAATTCAATGTGGGAAGACAACTTTAGTGAATAGAATAATTTCAACATCATCAAAATAACTTTATACAGATTTAACGATATTCTCAATAAATTTATATTTGCATGCAAAAACAACGAGACAAAAATATGAAAAGTTATTTGAACGAACAAAAATAAAAAAACATATTTTTAAGGGGGAAAATATAACTAAACTATAACTAAAGAAATATTAAAAAACAAAAAAAAAAAAAACTTAGAATTATTTGTTTTTATAATTAATAGTAAATTTAAATGCAAATATAATTTCAGGTAAGTGTTCACAACAATCAAAAAAAAAAAATAAATAAATAAATAAAAAGAAAATTATAAAGATTTGCATATTTTAATTTTTTTCTTTCAAAAATAATCAACTTGTTGGTCAAATTATCATAAGGCAGTTGTGATTTCTAAATGGCGTGACCGTATAGTTAATCAAAAATTATCAATAATTTTAAAAAAATCTATTATTAGAATTTTATTGTGCAAAATTAATGTCTTTCGCCATCAGAATTCTAAATATTTTCATTTGAACTGATTTCAATAATCAACTATTATAGTTTAAATATTGTAACAAATCATATGTGTACCTGGTCACTCTCACAATAATATCAACAAAGGCAAATGATAGAGTGCTATTGTGTGTTGTTGTTAACAGAATGGATGAAAGAGACTTCATGTAATAGTTCACCCTTTTCTCAGAGAGCGTTATCAGTATGCAGAGAATGTGAGAGATGTTGAACGGGAGACTTTAACACTTTGCACCTAATGAATACAATGTTATTGTTTATGTTAGTTAACATTTGCAAGAAGGAACATCACTTAACGGAATAAAACAGCAGTAGGTTTTCAACTAAGTTAAATCGTGACACTAACGATCATTAAAGGTCATAAAAATTCCAAACAAAATATATGTATGTTCATGTGTATATTAAGTTATGTTTCTTTAGCTAAAACCAACGGGGATCAAAAATTGTTCATTTAAAAGCAAAAACTTATATATAATTTTTTCCACTTTTTTCAATTATACTTTATGCACTCTTCTTTATACGTTTCTTTTTTATTTATTTTTTCTTCTAGAGAAATCAAAATTTAGGAGAAAAATAAAATCTTCAAATATAAATAACCCTAGAATATTAAAATTTTAATGATTTTCGAATTACTAATGGTGATTTTTCCCGTATCAATAAACAATAGCTAAATGCGATTAAATATAAATTAATGACCATTAAAGTTTCTTACTATCACTTTTACCGAAATATCGAGTGGAAAAAATTAGTTTTTAAACCGAAGTAGCGACATTTTTGATTAACTCATGTTGAAATTGCACTTCTGGCACTATATTTGGAGGCTTATTTTACACAGAACGGGCTGTTAGGGAGGAAATAATTTTTACTTTTGTGGCCCGTGCGGAATTCATTTGATGAAGGAGTCTTTGCGACGGTCGGAAAATGGCGTTACATTTATTAGATGATGCGTTCGTTGAGATGGCAAAGAGGAACTGAATTTGTATATTCATGAAATGTGTGAGCTCAGAGTGACGGTGGGAGAATAGATTTAAGCGGGTAATCTCACTTAGCCTCTATTCTCTAGCCTGTATAAATGTTGAGAAATTCAGCTATTAAATCAATTGGAGCGAACAATAATCAAATGAGAAACACATAAAACTGCATGCAAGATGAAAAAGAAATTACCTTTTGAACAAAAGTTATGAATGTTGAGTAATAAAATTGGAATAAAAGCTAAAGCCGTTGAATACGGTCCAAAAGGTCAATTCTTCAGGAATAATTTGGCCAAAAAAATACAAAAAAGAATGTGGCACTAAACCTAAGAAGAAAACAATTACTCTCCTTAATTTATCAATTGAGGCAATAGGAATGAGGCATTGGCATTGCTTTAAGCTAACGTTTATATTCCAAAACTATCGTTAAAAGTAAAAATAATAAACAAAGGTAGAACGTAGAACGTCAATTAGCCGATCATTTGCACAAATTCAAACAAGTTAACAAGAAAGAAGTTATCTGAAACAAAATGCTGCCAGGAATGCAAGCGCCATTACACCCCCATATAACGGTTTTCATTTGAGCGGTATTTTCCGAAGAAATTTTTTCGAAATCTTTCAAGTTTTTTCCAAATAGTGGAGGTGTAAAAAGTTCGGCCCGGCCGAAAAATTTCGCGGTATTTTCCGACGAAAATTTTTCGAAAAGTTCGGCCCGGCCGAACTTAACTGCTTGTTATTTTTTTTTCATTGGGTATAAATGCAAGGGTTTGACTTTGATGACGTGACAGAAAGACGGTGCCACACAACACGCGTAAGAATGGACTTATTAAGAGGCGAGTTTGGCGAACATTTTTTTTACTTTCGGAACCGGCCAATTGGCCGTCTAGATCGTGCAATTTAATTTCTTGAGATTATTTTTTGTGAAGACGAGGCAGCTTGAACTGACACACGAAATAATATTCAAACATCAAACTATATGGAACTCTTTATCAATTCGAACAAAAGTTTTGATAAAAATATCTGAATTCTACTATAGCTTTACCAAAGTCACGGTAGAACACTAAAATTTTACAGTCTGATAAGAGCACAAAAAAGAAGACATATAAAACAAACATATTAAAGGCTTTGTAAATACAGTTATACTCTACTAGAACTTCGGGCTCAAATAATTTTGCATTTGTTACTACAAATTACGGTTCTTTAATTCTAATGAAAACGTTTTTGTGGGAAGAGCAACACATGCAGGAATAGTGCGCACATTTGCCAAATTCGAAGAAATGATATCATATCGTTGTAAAATATTTGCAAGCAAAATAAACCCGAAACCTCGTACAAGACTTTGTCCAATACACGTTCTTTTGCCAATACTAAAAGGTAAGAAATGAGGAATGTTTTTCTTTAGATGGATTTCACTTTTGTTACGACGGTCAGCTAAATCGGTATTTAGTCCATTTTTTTTTCTCTCAGGAATTAATAAATCCTCAATTTCAAATTCAACACCAGAATCTGCGCCATCAGAATGTCTTCTCCTTGGTAATATTCGCACGGCATCTTTTGTACATGAGGCATCAACATCTGATCTATCTAGAAATCTTTCCGGTTGAAACAAATTCGGACATTTCCAATATTTTTCAGATCTATTTAGCTTAAAGTTGTTGATAAAAACTATTGTCCCCTTTACAACTCCATAATCCGATATTGTTGTGTCTTCAGTTGCAACGTGGGGAACAATGGGTGAAGACGAAAATCTCAATACTTCGGATATAGTAGCCATAGTATATGGCATACGATCCATGTCGTAAAGGTTTAGAAGTCGTCTCCCATTTTCTGATACCGCATCAGCTTCCGATTGAATGTTCTTTCCAATCTCATTGTTATGAGCAATGTGAGCGAGTGTTATCATAACCAAATTTCCAATTGCAGAATGGCCGCCAAGAAAATCTTCTAGCATATAAATTATAGTTTCTCTGGAGAAATGTTCATCTTCAACAACTGTTTTTAACAGTGCATTAGTAAAGTCCACATCAGGTTCAATACGTTCATATATTTTTTCACGTCCACGAATAACACGCTCAAGTATAAATTTTCGAATAGTTGTAGACCAATCTATTATAGTGTCGGTATGTTTTTTGTATAGTGGTGCTAGCCATGGCAGAAAGTCAACCGCATATCCTTGATTAATTTCCCAAAATATTTGATCAAACGAGTTAACAAATGTCTGAAATTCTTGGTCATTATAATCGAATCTTACAGAACACATGTACTGAAGAAACATATTAGCACTCGCCTCTTGAATAATTAGTTTTATATCATGTTCCTCACCAGGAAAAAGTTTTTCTTTAAGCGTTTTAAAAAATGTATCTATTTCAGAACAGGCTACATCGGACATCTTTGTGAAAAATAGTGAAGAACTTCTTGGTGAACAGTGACGGCGGGCAATATTTCTCCTCTTCTGTTGCAGAGAGGACCAGTCACATAATGCCAACGCTGTAAATAAAATAAATACATTTTTTAATATATATGAATATATATGTATATAGCGATTGAATACAACTGGGCCGATTTGACTTAAATTTTCCTTTGTTGTATACAATTGCAGTTACATATTAGCAGACAACAAGGTTTAAGGATATATGAATTGAACCTTGTTTTCAACAACATTTTAATTAAAAAGAATAATAATAATATGTAGAGAGTAACACTTCAGACTATAATGTATGATCTAAATTTCACAGCATATGTATATAGCACCAAGCTTGAGAAGAACTGAAAAAAGAATGATTTATAATACATCAGGTTAAAACTCCTTGCTCCCGAGAATACACATTGTTGAGTAGTTAAATCTAAATTAGACTTACAAAGTATATAAAACAAGTAAAAAAGTTTTAAGTTCGGCCGGGCCGAACTTAGCCGTATATTGGGGTATATACGACGACGTTGACCTGCATAGGGAACTTTTGTCATAAGCTATTATAATATTCAAATGGTTAACTTGAAAAAAAAAATCTGTTTATAATGTAGCTAAAATAAATAATATACCGAATATATGGAGGTACAATACGTGGACCTGCACAGATAGTTTTCTGGCATAGACTGTAGTATCCATTACAATTCTGGTAAATAATGTCGCTAAAATCATCAAAATACCGAATATCGGAGGGTACCGTTATATGGGGCTATACGAAGACGTGAATCTGCACAGACAATCTCTTGTCATATGCTGAAAAATCTACTACGAACTTCAAATACCAAATTTGAAACAATTCCGGTAAAGTTATATGGGGCTATACGAAGACGTAGATCAACATGGCTCATTTTCTGTCTTAGTCTGTGGTATCCATTGTCGCTAAAATCATCAAAATACCGAATATCGGGGGTACTGCTTTATGGGGGCTATACATGGCTGATTTTCTGTCTTAGTCTGTGGTATCCATTGTCGCTAAAATCATCAAAATACCGAATATCGGGGGTACTGCTATATGGGGGCTATACATGGCTCATTTTCTGTCTTAGTCTGTGGTATCCATTGTCGCTAAAATCATCAAAATACCGAATATCGGGGGTACTGCTATATAGGGGCTGTACGAAGACGTTGACCTGTTTGGCCCACTTCCTATCTGAGGCTGTAGTATCCATTACGAACTTCAAATACCAATTTTGAAACCATTCCGGTAAATAATGTCGCTAAAATCATCAAAATACCGAATATCGGGGGTACCGTTATATGGGGGCTATACGAAGTCGTGGACCTGCACAGACAATTTTCTGTCTTAGACTATAGTATCTATTACGAACTGTAAATGCTAAATTTTAAACAATTCCGGTGATTAATGTCGCTAAAATCATCAACATACCGAATATCGGGAGGTACCGTTATATTGGGGCATTTACGAACTTAACCTGCCTACTGAAAAAATAAACATGTGTGCAAAATTTCAGCCTTCTGTCTTAATTCGTTTGAAAGATAGCGTGATTACAACAGACAAACAGATGTACAGACAGGCGGACTAGATCGCTAGATCGACTTAGAATTTTACGCTGATCAAGAATATATATACTTTGGTGGGTCTTACATGAGTATTACGAGGAGTTGCAAACGGAATGACAAAGTTAATATACCCTCCATAGTATGGTACAGGGTATAAAAATAATGACAAACAAGTAAAAAGCTGTTTGTTCGGCCGAGCCGAACTGTGAATACCCCCCACCATTTAGAACGAATTTGGCAATTTTCCAAGTAATAAAATCTCTTAATAATTCTTTTAAAATAATAAAAATACAGAATATAGCCGTTATATTAGTGTCTATACGACGACGTGGACCTGCATAGGCAACTTTTGTCATAAGCCATTACGTACTATATTCAAAGGCAAATCTTGAAAAAATTGGTGAGTAATGTAGCTAAAATCATCAAAATACCGAATACAGGGGGCTATACCAAAATGTGGACATGCACAGACAATTTTCTGTCATAGACTGTAGTATCCGCTACGAACTTAAAATACAAAATTTGAAATAATTCCGGTGAATAATGTCGCTAAAATCATCGAAATACGTAATATCGGAAGGTACCGTTTTATGGGGGCTATACCAAAACGTGGACCTGCACTGAAAATTTTCTGTCTCAGGCTGTAGTATCCATTTTGAACTTCAAATACCAAATTTGAAACAATTCCTGTGAATAATGTCGCTAAAATCATCAAAATACCGAATATCGGTAGGTACCTTTATATGGGGGCTTCACGAAGACGTTGCCTTTTATAGGCAGTGGTATCCATCACCAAAATACCAAATTTAAAGCAATTTGGGCGAATAATGTTGCTAAATTCATCAAAATACCCAATTCCGGGAGTTATATGGCGCTATACGAAGACGTGGACTTGCATGGCTCATTTTCAGTACCAAAAGTCGTGCACACATTACATATAGACTTGAGTAAAATTTTATCAATCTACTTCATTTCGTTCGGAAGCTAGAGTGATTTCCACAGACGGATATACGGACGGACTAAATCGCTAAATCGACATAGAATTTTATGCTGAACAAGAAAATGTATATTTCGAGGTGTTACAAACGGAATGACGAAGTTAGTATACCCTCCATAAATAAAAATCTTCCAGTATGCTGATCAAGAATGTAGATCAGCATAAAATTCTATATCGATTTAGCGATGTTCGTCCGACTGTGGAAATCACTCTAGCTTACGAACGAAAAGAAGTAGATTTATTAAAATTTACTCAAATAAATATTATGTCTGTAGGACGTGGGCCATGTATGTCCACGTTACGGTATAGCCCCTATATAACGGTACCTCCCGATGTTCGGTACTTTGATGATTTAAGCGACATTATTCACCGGGATTGTTTCAAATTTGGTATTTGAAGTTCGTAATGCAGCCTATGACAGAAGATTGCCTTTACAGGTCCACGTCTTCTTATAGCCCCCATACAGCGGCACCCTCCCATATTCGGAATTTTGATGATTTTAGCGACATTATTAACCGGAATTGTTTCAAATTTAGTATTTGAAGTTCGTGATGGATACTACATCCTATGACAGAAAATTATATATGAAAGTCCTCGTCATCGTACAGCCCCTAAAATAGAAAAGCGTTTGTATTGCCCCCACATTACGGTACCTCCCGATATTCGGCATTTTGATGATTTTAGCGACATTATTCACCGGAATTGTTTCAAATTTGGTATTAAAAGTTCATAATGGATACTACAGACTAAGACAGAAAATTGTCTGTGCAGGTCAACGATTTCGTATAGCCCCCATATAACGGTACCTACGATATTCGGTATTTTGATGATTTTACCGACATTATTCACCGGAATTGCTTCAAATTTGGTATTTGATGTTTGTAATGGATACTACAGCCTATTACAGAAAATTGTCTGTGCGGGGCCACTGTTTGGTATAGCCCCCATATATTAGTACTTCCCTATATTCGGCATGTTAACGATTTTGACGATGCAGGTCCACGTTGTCGTACAGACCCTAATAAAGCGGCTACATTCGGTATTTTTAAGATTTTAACAGAACTTCTAACGGATTTTTTTTTTTTGAAATTCGTTCAAAAATTGTTGATGGTATTTAATGTTTGGTCCTGCTGAACTTACAGCTTTTTTATACCCGCCACAAATATTTTGTATGCCGGGCCACGTTTTCGTATATCCCCCATATAACGGTACCTCCCAATATTCGGTATTTTGATTTAAGTGACATTATTGAACGGAATTGTTTCAAATAATATATTTGAAGTTCGTAATGGGTACTACAGCCAATGACAAAAAAAATTCATGAGTAGGTCCACGTCTTTGCACAGTCTCCATATAACAGTTTTCATTTAAGTGGTAGTTTCCGGAAGTTTTTTTACTTTTATAGTATGCTGGGAATCTAACATTTTTATACCCTCCACCATACATAGTATGGAGGGCATATTATGTTCGTCATTCCATTTGTAACTCATCGACATACCGAATATCGGGAGGTACCGTTATATGGAGCTATATGAAAACGTGGACCTACATCGCCCATTTACGAACTTAACCTGCCTACTGAAAAAATAAACATGTGTGCAAAATTTCAGCCTTCTGTCTCAATTCGTGGGAAAGATAGCGTGATTACAACAGACAAACAGACTGACGGACGTGGCTAAATCGACTTAGAATTTTACGCTGATCAAGAATATATATACTTTGTTGGGTCTGTCATGAGTATTTCGAGGAGTTGCAAACGGAATGACAATGTTAATATACCCTCCATAGTATGGTGGAGGGCATAAAAATAATGAAAAACAAGTAAAAAGCTATATGTTCGGCCGGGCCGAACTGTGAATACGCTCCACCATTTAGAATGAATTTATAGGCCCCATATGTCTACGATATCGTATAGGCTACATATAACAGTACCACTGATATTCGGTATTATGATGATTTTAGCCACATTTTTTCAATGGAATTGTTTGAAAATCCACACAAGGAGTTCTTTATGAGTACTTTACCTCTTGAATGAGATTTGTCTATATAGGTCCACGATATTGTGTATTAAACATGATTTAATTCCACACAGAACCTTCTGTTTGAAAATAAACTTTGATAAAATCTTTTAACGAATGGATAATAGTGATATTAAGCCATTTTGTATAGGATCCCCAAGTGAGATGCATAATCAAACGGTTCTTCAATATCGAGTGAAATTGCAACTGTAAATTTTCATACTCGAAATTTGCCCTCTGTTAAAGCTGAACTATAATTCAGGAATATAAGATGTTAGTATTCCATATCCATTTGAATGCGGATGGTTCGCTCCAGTAATTTACCTAGGTTGGAAAGCATGGAAATAGTCCTTATTATTAACTGCTTTACTTAGTGCGACTATTTCTTCCATACTCTTTAAAGTTCCTACTTTATCATCATTGAAATATTGCTCTAATATTCGTTAAAAAAAAGGATTCCTTCTCTGATAATTTGTTATTGTAA